CTGGAGAGATGTGAGGTATCCCTACCTAAGCTATTATGTGGCCTGGCCTGAGGCTATTTCTGTCAGTCTTGTCCATTCTTGAGAGAGAACCTGGGAAGTATTAAAGACCATCATTTAGTAGCTGTGTACTACATGTGTGTCTTGTGATTGTAGGCCTTTTTCTCATATTTTCTTGCAATTAGCTTACTTTACTCTCTTCAAAACTCAACATGACAACAGTTTGCAAGCTGTTCCAGAGGAGAATCTTTCCAGTAGAAGGGTCTTGCCTCTGTTGATTCACCCTCATTTGCTCATGGACTAATTTAGGAACTTCCTTTCAGTTTGTTTTCTCTGAAGAATTAATTTGTTTTCCTTCAAAAACACACCAGAACACTGTAGAAATGTGTTCTTTTATCTTCCATTACTCTGAAGCAATAGCTGATGAAAGTCGCTGTTTGTATGATGTGTTGAAGTTAATGGCTTCTGCTGTTTGTATCTCTTCTTGTGTGCTTTCTGACAACCACTTTTGTGAAAGCTGTCATAATTTTCTTTGTTTCAAAGCAACATCTGAAGCAAAGCTTGCAAAACATGAAAGTATTCAAAAGCCTCCATCAGGGCAGGGGGGAGGAAATCATAGCCAATTTTACCCAGAAGCTTGGATTCCTCTCAAGGATTTTTTAAGGGAGAATAGCTGGAGTGGTTTTTTGAGAAAGTGATTACTAGAAGAGAAACTGTAGATTTGTCTATGTGATCTGGTTGTGAGATGAAAGGTTTTTCTGTTAGACCATGCTTTCTCCAGAACTTTGACTCCAAATGAGAAATTCCAGGCCAAAAGCTCAGTTTGAGAAAATGTTAGGTAACTGAAAAGCCGTTTAGATTAGGAAGAAACTTCAACTGTATTGGAGCTTCTTAATTTTTAACTTGAATTTTTACTGAATCAAAAGTAGATACAGAAGTTTACAAGAATTGTCAATTAGTTGACAGCACATCTTAGTTATTCTTTCCTCACTCTCTCCATTTCAATTCTTTGTTACCTT